ATATAGTGCTAAAAATCGGTTAATCAGTAGGGAAACAGAAGAACATTAAAGAAAAATTGGTGATGAACTCGGAATCTCTCCAGATCTACAAAGATCTGGAAGGATCCGTGTTTAAAAACTAGGGTTTTGAAGAAAGAGTAAAAGGGTAAAGGGAATCCAGTCTCAAACAAGAGATTTGGACCGTAAAAGCATCGAGATAGAAACACTCACAACCATAGACAGGCTCTCAGGGAGTCTTGAACTAGATCTGGTTAGATCTCTTCGAGATTTTTCCAAGAAATCGTAAGAACGAGCAACCAGGAGACATAGAAGATCAGTAGGAGCCTCAAACGGTCGTGGAAATCCATGGATTGAGTGAGAATCAGAGGGGATAGGATTAGTTTGGGTGGCGGCGGCTCGGGTTAGGTTTAGGTCTCAGAGAGGGTTTGAGAGATGAGGGAACGAAGGGCAGCGGAGAATAGCAAATGAGTTAGGTTAGAGGGTCGTTTGGAATTAAAAAGGAAAGTTTGATCGTGGACCGTTGATCTAAAAGATCAACGGCCACGATTTAATGGGGTTATTGGGTCGGGTAGGATTAATTGGGTTAGGGTCAGGTAAAAATTGGGCCTGGGTGGATTTTGGGCTAATTTGGGATTGAAATTGGGATGTTTAATTGGCTAGGTCCGAATAAGAAGGGGCTATTTGTTAAATACCCATTTAATAGCTAAAACAATTTTTTAAAACTAATTAAAAAATATATAAATGATTTTCATGCCTAGAAATATTTTAAAATAATTACTTAATATTTTAAAAATATAAAAGGCTATTTTTCGGTAAAATAATATAATAATGCATGCATGGGCTATAATTGCAAAGTAATTGCAATTGTAACCTAAAATTACAAATGTGGCTATTTGTGCAATAATTGAAACTTAATACAAATACAAATGATGAAATTAAGCCACAAAATTATTATAAAACTATTTGTGATGTAATTAGTGATTGTTTTATAAATAAAATAGTGGGATAAATTAATTAAGATCTTTTAAAAATGCATAAATTGTATGAAAAATACCAATTGATGCCAATGCATAGTTTTGAAAATATTATAGGGAAAAATTAGGTATCAACAGTGTTAAGTTAAATTTATACGGTCACTCTATATTCGAGGGTATTGTAGGAAACCACTATTAAAAATGTTCACGTAGAAGCTCCTCTTTCATCTATATATTTTAATTAATTAAAAGTAAAATATACTTAGTCAAATATCACAATGACCAAAATAAGAATTTATGAATAATTAAGGATTGAAAATGCAATAATTTTTTTTTAAAAAAAATAAGCAAGATAAACAATAAGACCCTGCGGTTCGATTTGTTTTTTTTTAAAGTACATAAACGAAATGATATCTAACATAATCTAGGTAACATGCATGCCCAAAAACAGTAGTCATTCGTTTTCTAATTTAGCAGGGAATTTGTAATCTTTAACTTCTTTTATTGTTTCTTTGTCTCTCTTGGTAACCTATTGATCACACCCAACTATGCCTTATAAAAAAGACAACGATCGTTGCAAATATAATCTGAGTATTTAGCCAGAGTCGAATCCATAGGGAATTAACCTATCAATTACTTTTGTTAGACTCACTAAATTCTTCGTAATCAACTTCCCTGATATTTGGAATAACAATTGGTGATATTTTTACTAACCAGAACTGAGTAAATTTAAGTAACTAACAGCTAACTATGACTGAGTTGTTAACAAATAAGAGAAGGATCTAAGGTTGTGATTTCCCCTATTGATGGAATCCCTTCCTGTTATGTTTCATATAGATTTGCATAATCATCTCTATCGATCATGAGCACTCTTACTACCGTAAATCTCTCCCGAGTAATTACGACAATTTACTAGACGCACTCTCCCGAGTTATGCTAGCTAGCTTTTATTACAGCTCACTTTAGGTCACACCCAAGGCTTCGTTATCCCTAATCCCGCCTTTAAACCCTCGGTTATTGATTCCTCACATACTTTGGGAGTGGTGTTGTTCAACAATTACCTAAATATGCACTCTCTCCCGAGTAATACATACTAAATAGGCACAGCTAATTGAGGATCCTATCAACTAACTACAACAAGAACGTAGTTGAACAAATAGAGATTAAACTGGGCAAACTATATTAACATAACATGAAGTTCATCCTTCAACAGGTTCCATCAAAACGCTAGACACAATAATTAGCTACTCATATTCGTGTTCATAGTAGCATCCAAATTCATCATAAATTATAAATACAAAAGGAAGAAAGGTAGAAATCGATGTCGAATTGTCCTCCTTGCCTCTTGCCTCTTCTTGCCTTCAACTCAATTGTAAAAACCTTGATAATGTCTCTTTGGGCGAGCTGGACCTCTTATAGGATAAGTGGAATTACCCCCAAACTTCCAAGTTTACCCCTGAAATTATGTGCTCCAGACTGGACTAGCGCGGCCGCGCTCGTGCCCGCGCTAATGGCCGCGCATATTGCATAACAATCTGCCTCGATTTTCTGGACTAGCGCGGTCGCGCTAAGGGCGCGCTAAAGCCGCGATAAGCTGGTTCAGCATTTTATCTCTTATTTTCTCTCTTCTTTCACACATACTCAGCTCCGAGGGGCTTCCCTTGCTTTAATTTAGCTCTAAACACTGTCCTAAGTCCTCATAACCGCAACTTGCTCCTGCAAAACATAAAATTCACAATTAGAGCCAATTTATCGTCATTTAACCATCCTAGAACAGTGAAGCACAGTCAAGTTGGGGCGTAAATAGTCGCCAAACTACATGAATCTAGCCCATTATTAACACCCCACACTTAAATCATTGCTAGTCCTCAAGCAATCCACTATACTCTATAAAGGTTCCTTCACTAAGATTTTCCCCTAACGTATCACACCAAGAACAATTCACCAAAGTTACGTCTAGTAGTGTACCATCTTTGCCTCAAGAGTCGACTCTCACGTGTCGTGCAATATTCATACTTAATCAAAGTACTCTATACAGAGGTCAAGACTTACCTTTCCTTTGTGAATCACATGCCCTCACATCACACAAGAGAGTAGTTCCACAAATAATAATATATATTTTTGGTCGAAAGAAATTTTTTATTTCAACCAGTTTTTCAATTTACATCACCTGTACTTTGGACTCTAGTATCAGGTCTCATAACTAGAACCAATAAACAAAATACCTACACAACCAGGGCTGCTAACTAAGATCCCATATCATTATGGGTCTTTTTCCTATCCTATTTGCTATGAATTACAATTAGTATAGCTATTTAGTATATTCAATATAGGTGTGCATTTACATTTCTTCTGTCCTGTTATGTGCACCTGCAAAACAATTTCTTTTGCTCTATCCTGAATCTCTTTGCTCTGGTTCTGGAATCGTCTTGCATTTCTCTCCATCCAGATATGATATACTACTGCTGCAAACACCACTCCTAGCACATTTTTCCTTGGATTTCTGTTGTTTACATTGGTAGTTAACCATTGTACCTCAGCTTCCCAGATTTCAACCCTTCTCTTGTAACTTAACCATTCAAGCAACCCCTTCCATAAGCTCTGTGAATATGGACACTCGAAATACAAGTGATCATGTGTCTCTTCTATGTCACCTCCACACAATACACAAGAATGGTTCACCTGAATTCCCCATTTTGCTAGTCTGTCAACTGTAGCTAACCTTCTTTGTATTGCCATCCATAAAATGAATTGTTGCTTAGGTAATATTCCTGTTAACATGACTAGAGCTTTCCAATGGACTTTAGGGTATTTTGGAGTAGCATGAAGGTAGGCTTTCTGAATACTGAATTTCCCATTCTGAGCAAATGATTCAATTGTTGGTATGTCATTAGCCCACCATTCTCTTGATGTAAACAGTTTCTTCACTATCCAACTAGCCTGCTTTGGAGTTTCCATTGTAATGATGTCCTTCTGCTTTATATAGTGGTTGTGTATCCATTTAATCCAGAGTTTGTCCTTCTTAGCCATTAGAGCCCATAGGAGTTTAGTCAAAGCAGCTTTATTCCATCTCTCATTGTTGATAATGTTTAGGCCCCCAGCAGCTTTTGGTTTGCATAATGTTTCCCATGCTATAGGATCTCTGTGAGTATTCTCATGACTACCAGTCCACAAATAGTTCCTATAAATTCCATTAACCAGTTTAATCACCTTCTTTGGAATTAGGAATAATTGAGCCCAGTAGGTCTGCATTTCAAACAGGACATTGTTAATAAGTTGTAGTCTTCCAGCATAGGACAATAGCTTTGATGTCCAGCTTCTTATCCTCTCCACCATCTTCTCAACTAAAGTCATGCATTGCTGAATAGTAATCTTCCTTGAGGACAAAGGAACTCCCAAGTATTTGAATGGGATGATGCCTGCTGATAGCTAAAGTTCTGCTAACATTCTGGCTTTGAACTCCACAGGCACACCTGCTATGTATAATGAGCTCTTTTCCAGATTTGCTTGTAGACCTGAGACCTTGGAGAAATGATCGAAAACTCCCATCACTAACTTCACTGAAACCCCATCAGCTCTACAGCACATCAGTAAGTCATCTGCAAAGCAGATATGTATGACTTGCAGTTTAGCACATTTAGGATGAAAGTTAAAATCTGGATTCTGATTCAGTGTCTTCAAAGATCTGTTTAGGTACTCCATTGCTAATACAAACAAGTATGGGGACATAGGATCCCCTTTCCTTAGCCCTTTTCTTGCTGCAAATTTGTCAGTTAGTCCCCCATTCAGTAGGAGAGTATAACTGACTGTAGATACACATTCCATGATTAGTGCTACCATCTTGTATGGTATCCCAAACTCAAGCAGTACTGCTTTCAAAAAACTCCACTCAACCGAGTCATATGCTTTCCTAATGTCCACTTTGATCATACATCTAGGAGAAACTGCTTTTTGAGAGTACCCTTTTATCAGTTCATGAGCCATTATAACATTGTCAAGAATATTCCTTCCTTCTATGAAGGCATACTAAGAATGTCCAACCAAAAGATCCACAACTAGTTTAAGTCTATTTGTCAGTAGCTTGGCAATAATTTTATACATGGTTGAGCAACAAGCAATTGGCCTAAACTCCTTCACATAGCTTGGATTTTTCATCTTTGGAATCAATGTAACAGTTGTGCAGTTAATTTCCTTCAGTAGTTTGCCAGTTTGAAAGAATTGTTGAACTGTTTCTATGACCTCCTGTCCAATGAGTGGCCAAAATTCCTTAAAGAATTTAGCAGGGTATCCATCCATACCTGGTGCCTTGTCATTAGGTAGATTCTTTACAATTTGACAGATCTCCTCTGGTGTTACTGCATGTAACAATTGTTGCCGCTTGGCTAGTGTTAGACAAGGACCATTTCGTGCTATATTGACATCTATCCCTGGTAATTCATCTGCTGTTGTCCCCAATAGTTACTGAAAGAACTGGATGAATTCTCTTTGAATGTGTTTCGGCTCAGTGATCTTCATCTGCTGTTCATTATAAATGTAACTCTCCTTATTTCTTGCTTGTCTGGCCTTCATATAAGCATGGAAGTGTTTGGTATTGCAATCTCCCAGTTGGATCCATGTTGCTCTCGACTTCTGCCTCATAATTTGCTCCTGAATTTCTTCCCATTTCTCTATGCTTTTTAAGGTCCTTCTCTCATCTTCTATCAGTTGATTGTTGAAGTAGTCCTCATTGAGCTTCCCCTGTACTTCCTTCAGTGTTTCTCTCAATTGAATCAGCTTTTGATCAACTGAGGAATGTTCCTGTTGAATGTCCCTTGTTTGTTGTTGAATAAGCTGCAGTTTCCTCTATATAGAATACATTGCATATCCTTTGATCGTTTGACTCCAAGTATTTTGGACCACTTCTTTATATTCTCTTTGTTGCATTACTGATGTTAGTAATCTATAGAGCCTTTTCATTCTAACTTTTACCACATCAGTATTTATCATTATAGGGGTATGATCTAAGCATCCTGGGAGGATATATATTGCCTCTACCCCATTATAAACATTGAACCAATCAGCATTCCCCAATGCCCAATCTATGTGGCTATGTATTCTGACATCTGCATCCCTTTTATTGCACCATGAGAAACTGCTGCCTCTTTTTGTGATTTGTCCCACTCCAATATCATCAAGGCAGCTTTGGAAATCAATTATTTCTGCTTGATGAACTGGAATTCCATTCACCCTATCATCCACATTTAGCACACTGTTGAGATCTCCTATTATGAGCCATGGTCCAGTAGTTTGCATGTTCCTCAAACTTCTCCATAGTGGAATTCTATCTTTAGTAATGTGGAGGCCATACACAAATGTTATATAACTCGTGAATGCTGAATTTTTATCCTTCACTAGACAGTGAATCATCTGATCAATGTTCTCCAGTACTGCTACATGTATATTTGCTTCTTTCCATATTAACCATATTCTACCATTAGGTGCGTTTTCATAATTGTCTTTGAAATGCCAGTCTATTCCTATCTTCATTCGAATCTTCTGCACCCTGTGTTTTTTAACTCTAGTCTCCAAAACAGCAATCAAATCTACTTTATTTGACAGCAAGAATTTCTTTAGTTCTTGCTGTTTAAAGGACTTATTCAGTTCTCTAATATTCCAGGATACAATGATCATGGGGGTTTGTGAAAGCTGGGATTATCCTCTTTAGCCGTTTGGCCTACTATAGTACTAGAAGATTGCCCCTGCTGTCCCTCAATGGATGGCCTCTCCAATATTCTCAGTGGAGCAAATGCATTCCTTCTAGCTAGTTCTTCATAATTGATCTCTGCCTATTTTGGTTTACCAGCAGCTCCTTGAGTTACCACTGCCTGCTTACCTCTGTTATTGACTTGAATCTCCACAACTGGTTCAGTTTGAATCTCTTGTTGCTGGGTATTTGTATTATTGCTTTCCTCTGCATCTGCTTTAGGTTGCCATTTCATTTTAGTTTTCTTCTTCCTTCCTCTCTTATGCTTCATTGGTTCCTCTTCATGCTGTGTTGCTTGTTTACATTCTCCAGTACCATGTCCGAATTCATTGCAATCTATACATAATTTTGGTTTCCATTCAAATTCAACTCTCTGCATCCAGCTTCTATTTGGCGTTTCAACAAAAATCTCATCAGGCATTGGTTGTGTAATGTCCATTTCAACAAGTATTCGAGCATATGACACCCTCTCACATTCTGCTGTAAGCCTATCAGTGCAAATAGGTTTGCCTAGTAGGCTAGCAATCCTACCTAGGTTTTCCTCAGCCCAACACTGGATCGGAAGTCCAGGTAAATTGATCCAAATTGGAACAATTCGAATAGATTCATTCTGCATCTGGAAGTTAGGATCCCAATCCTTCAACACCATAGGTCGGCTATTGAACGTGTAAGGGCCATATTGCATTATTAGGTTCTTATCCTCCATAGATCAAATTTAAAAATGAAATACCCGTCATCATGCAGCAATACTGTTGGAGTTGTGACTGTACTCCATACGCCATAGACGAATTTGAGCATTTCCTTGAATGACGGATTTCCTCCTAGGACATAACCTATCAAAGCTGTTTTCCATCGCTTGATTGTTGCTCTATCTCCTTTGGGTTTAATTTGGCCATTTTCACTCCGTTCTTCACTGTCGGAGGATAGAATTTGAGTTGCATGCCCTTTGTTTGAACTATGTTGCCTTTCACTACTTCAGCCATAGTCCGTTCTGCTTGAGATCCAGCTGAGTATGTTAATTTTCGTGCCGCTGTAGTTGTAGCTGTTTCCAGTGGTTTCAATTCTTCCTTCTCCACCTCGGGTGGAGCTTGCATGACTGTAGGAGCACTTCCCATACCTGGTAACCAATGTAACAGTTGAATTGGAGCTATTTTTTGGGGGATTCCATTTTTTGGAGTAATTAGTCTAGTCATGTTGTCAATTGGGGAATGAGATTGTGTAGGGTGGCTATGGTGATTCCGGTGAGGCATCACTCGGCGTTGTCAGCTTTCTCGCTCAACAATCGCCGGAGTATCTCTCTCTAGTTTCTCTCTCTACATCACTCCTCCGATAGACTTCACAAATAATAATATTAAGAACAATTAGGAACTTAGATAGACAAAATTCGCTCACTCTTAGAAAGAAAATTCATATGCTACACAGATGCACCATAGGCTTGCCCGTAGAGTACTACTTTACTAATCGAGCTCATTCAGTCTAAGATCAATTAGGACTTCATTTGGTTGTAATGTATGCTAAGGGACGGGTAGGATATATTTGGATATAGTGACTAACCTCCCTACACACTTTTAATACAATTACATTCGCCTTCAAAACCATACTTATGTCAATCCAAACATTCCACCACACTTCTATTTGTAATACCCCAAACTTCATTAGGTGCAATTATCTCAAGCCACCACTTATCAAGTACTACACTTACTTATTCTCTTTTTTTTTTCTAGTGGCGCTTATTCTTTTATGTTTCAAAATACTGCACCTTTTCTCTATTTCATTGGTTCCACTCAAAAAACCAAACCACCACCCCACACTTTGACTTTTGCATATTTCATAACCATTCAAGTGCTCATGGGAGGTAAAGGGGTTCAAACAGATGGGCCGTTCAAACAATTAGGTAAGGTTTGTAATGTGGTTGCCAAAGAAACAGGCTTATAGGCTCAACGGGGTTAGCTACGATTGATCACATTTAGGTGGGTCTACTTTATATATCTGGCTTAACAAAGAAATGCCTATATCACTTCTAAGACTGAATAAAGCTACTATTTTGCTTTGCAAACACACGGGGCAAGTTCTAGGCATCAAATGCAGAGCATAAAATACAAGACAACTCACACACACATGGCACATGACTCACTCCAGATTGGCTTATAAAGACACTCTCGTTTGAGTACTCAAGTCAGTTACAAACATACAATTTAAGGCACTCTAACAAGAATCAACCACTGAGACTAAGTGTACACTCTAGTACCTACTGTGTTCAGGTGTATCAACGCCAAGGGCTTCTCTTTCTATTTCAGCTCATAGCCCATCAGTACTAACTAAAAACTAGAAACAAAATAAACAAAAACTAACTACACCCGGTTCAAGTAAAACCCTTGGAAAAGAACCGTGGCCCAAAGAAACACCAAGGGGGAGTTACTACACTACCTAAAACAAAAAAAAAAATCTTTTTGGTATTTTCTTTAGACTAACTTCCCTCAACAAAACTGTCTAGAAGATCCGTCATCAGGAAGAGTCCAACATATTTCTGTTTTTTTTTAAAGATTTTCATGTTGACGTAGACCCTTAAGAACCCCGTCGAAAGAGATCCGTCGTCGGGACAAGTCAACTTACCTAATTTGACTCTTACTCAAAACCACAGAATCAATCAAGAAAAACAAAGAAAACATAAAACAGTCAAGTTGTTACATATACACACATACATTGAAGTATCCCCCACTCCACACTTAAAAGGAAGACATGTCCTCATGGCATACAAAATAAAGAACAGTGAGGTAAAGGAACTTCCCTGAGTGATCACTCTTGATCGGAGACTGTGTCCGGGTTCAGATTGCATGCACGACCCAGAGCTCGCAGCCAGCCCAATATTTTCTTCTCCGATTTAACCTACTGCATGGCCAGCGCATCAACACGTGTACCTAAGTCGGCGACCGAGGTACACAACCCTGCCACCTCCTCGTCTAAAGCTGTGAACCGGGTAACTCGAGTAGTCCCAGATGGTCCTGCAGCCTCTGCAATTTGCTCATGGGCCGGTGACTCGGCCCTTGCTTTCTCTTGCTCATCCTCCCCTTCCTCAAAGTCATCGAATTCAGCACTATCACCACCACCAGCTGCCACAGGCTCCTTCCCCGTAGTAACCTTATCAGCTCAGAACTTGGAGTCTCTTGGCACTAACCCATCCACATTCAAATTCTCCAGCACCCGAGCTGCCCGGCAGAGTCTACTAACTAAGGAAGGGAAGAAGAACCCATACCTCTTTACCAGATAGCGGATAAACATCTCGTCGTGAATGAGCTTGGCCACGTCAAAGTTGTGACCATTTATAAAGCACCAAATTAGAGCAGCTCGAGGAGCATTCACCTCCGTGGTGTTGGAAGACGGGATCAGGCAGTTGTTGATGACATACAACCAACATTTCCCTTCAAAAGTGAGCGCCGCGGAATGAAACTTCTTTCCATACTTCATCCATACAATTTCCTTGCCGGGCACACAAATGGTTTCAAAGAACATCTCCCACTGGGTGTATTTCCTCCCATACATTTCATAATAGTCTTCATACTCATCCACCGATGCGGGCAGCTGGTATATCCTCCGAATAGCCTCAACAGAGGCATCCACGGCCTTCCTGCGCACAGTTACTATGCCATTCACATGTTCCTTTACGTTGGCGTATAATTCACGGACAACCATTAAATTTCCCTCGTCCAGCTCTTCAAAGAAGATTTGGAGCCCCCGCCTGACCAGCTCAGTATACAAGTTAGGGCAGCCCAGCTGGAGCGACCCTATATCCATGCCCCTTTCCGGTATTGGTTTCTTAGGGGCCTTATCCTCAAAATGGTCCTGAGCCTTGGCGGAGATAAACTTGATGCTACCAAACGGACGAGTAGGAGCTGACCCGCGCGCCCTGGACGAACCAGCTTGACCACTGAATGAAGCACTGGTGGTTCGGCGTTTCCTGGAGGGAGCCATAGTACCTGGAAGAAGAATAGCATTAGCACAACTCAAAAGGCTTGACTCAACTGCGGTTACTCAGACTTCACCCGCACAATTGGTCACAAATACCCATTAATACTCACTGTGACATTTAGACAAACACTTTGTGGTCACTATATACCGGAACCCTTAATTCAAACATGTTGTAACCCCATGACCACCACAATTTCCCCAAATTCACCCACTAAGTTAAGAGACAACTCCACCAACATTACCACTCACAAGCACTACACAAACACTATAAATTACTACTAGGAAAAGATAAGAACAAAGCTACTACATAATTAAGAAATTAAAACGAAAATCTGCAAAAAAAATGGCAAAAAGAAACCTTACCTGTAGTGAGAGAAGATGGTGAGAAGTGAAAAAGAGTAGGGGAGGACATGGCTTGAACCTTGGAGAATTCTGGTTGAGATTATTTGGGAATGGAGAAGGGGGGAATTTGGAGAAGAAGGGAATTAGGGTTGGGGTTCGTTTGGTGTTTGGTAGGAGAAAGGGGAATAGTTGGGGGGTGGGGGGTGGGGGGTGGGGAGGATTAAACAACTACACAATTAACATACAAAATAAAAATAATAAAAAATTGTTAAGTTAAATAAAGTTCCAGGCGGACGGGACTAGCGCAGTCGTAGCGTGGTTCGAGCGCAGTCGCGCTAGTCGAGGCAGAATGTTTTCCCATATGCGCGGGCACTAGAGCGGGAACTACCGTAGGCGCGCTTCAAGCACGGTCACTAGCGCGGGCACGCTACTGGACGAGATGCTGAGGCAGAATGTTTGCCCATATGCGCGGGCACTAGCGCGGGCGCGCTACAGGGCTCAAAATTTTTCCACTTTTTTACCTGTTCCTTCTGCGTCCGATGGACTTATCACCTGCCCAAGCTCACCTGCATTGGTTAGTACTTACCAAAATCAAAATTAACAACTACTAACTATACAA